TTTTTTTTTTTTTAAGAATTCAGTCTGTTTTAGGAAACCAATCTCAAAGATCAGACTGAGAGTTATGTTTAGGGTAAATTAGTAATTACTTTAATCAGTCTTTAAGACAGTGTCGTATGAAATACCTGTGTAATGTTTGTAATCAAACTGTTACCCTCTTACGAAGCAGAAAATTATGTATCTTAAAGAAACCAGATTCTCAGAAGAGATCGACCTCATGGCTCAGACTCCGTTTTGTCTTTGGTTCCATTTCTGCTTCTGAGAAAGTGACTCGTAACTGTTAATAGGTAAACCAAGGAGGGGCAGCTTGCCCTTGAGAAGAACACTCAGTATATTTTAAACGACTAACTGAAGACCTCCTATAGGAAAGGTCCATCTATGCTAATCATTAGTTCTCTAATGAAAACTTGTCACGTGTAAATTTTTCTGTATTTTCTGTTTCTTCTAGACAAACTTTGTGTGCTCCTTATGGATATATGTTTCTGTGTAGATATGTTTCTAATTTAGATGATTCCTTTCCAACTGATAGTGAATTTGTGGGGGCAATCACTTGTTTAGATGGCTGACGAATGTGTGGACAATGCACTCTGAGAACTTTAGGATTATCTTTAAGTATTCATAGTAACAATGCTAGTAAATATTGAAAAGGTAATGTTAAAATTGTAAAATGAAAGTCAGAAGAAAACGCATTGGTCCAACATTCAGGGTATGGTTGGTAGCTTTAATTCCTACTTATGGTATATCTGAGTTGGAGAAATCTTTAAGAAAATTTGTCAGTCACTATGGGACAAATAATAGATGAGATAGAAGCACAACAGTGATCTCTGATCTTATAAGCCAAGGTGACATGAGATAACAAAATAACCTTAGTTTTTTTTATTAGTCCAAGAAAGTGTAGTCCGTGCTGTAGATAAGATATACATAGAATTAGACAGCAAGCTACTTGATTACAAACACCAGATCTATTTGGTTGGTTGCCATCAGGAATAAATACATGGGCTAGATCACTACTGCAAGGGATAGTAATATTCTTAGTCTACATCCTGATACTATTAGGCATAATAAAATTTATCCTCTATTGTCTTACACACCTAAAAGGCAAAAGAAGGCCTCGGGCTAAAATGTTGATGTACCTTGAGTCTGCTCACTCTGGCAATGCGATTGATGAGAGCATTGCTCTTACTTAATAACCTGGTGAAGAACCAGATGGTATCCAGTGGAAAACCAGCACCGTGAGTTTAAAGAGCCTTCCGTGGCCGCCGTCTAGGAGCTCGACTGAGTCCAGGTATTGATCATCGATGTGTTATCTCCAATCTCTGATCAAAAGGAGGGACTGATTTAGGAAATAATATTGGAGTTATTATTCCCTCTCCTTGAGCATACAGAATGTGACCCAGGTGGAGCTGGTCTCACAAAGGCTCACAAGGACTCTCAAGGACACATCAACTGGGCCCTGAGGTATAAAGACAATAGCTAAGATAATCTTGGAAAATATCTTTTAGGGAAACTTTCACATAAATCCCATCAAACAGAACACAAAACACTTTCCACTCTTATCTTTCTCTATTAGCATTTAGTGAAAAGGAATTTGTTGGACCAATGAAGACCCTCTTGATTCTTGTTACTGAAACCCCTACCAATGATTGTTAAGAAAGATGATTCAAAATGTAAGATTATAATTTCTAGCCAATCAGTGAAAAAGTGATGCTTTCAATGATTCTACCCATTTTGTGATGTTGATGTATACTGATGGCTCTGTAACTGTTCTTTGGACTCGGGCAGACGTGGCTGTGACAGTATGCTTGTTTGTTTTCCCATTCTTGCCTATTCTGTGATATTCTTTGGACTCGGGCAGACATGGCTGTGGCAGCATGCTTGTCCGCTTCCCACTTTCGTCCTTTTGACTATATGCCGAATAAAACTTTCTTTTTACTTTAAAAAAAAAAAAAAGTCATAATACCCAAAGCATTAGAAATTAAATGTTATATCTAACACAATAACATTAAAATGACAAACAAATGGTTGCCTTCTGCATTATTACAGTCTGCTATAAGTAAAATGTAAATCAATTCTACGTTTAGTTAAGAACATCTTTGTTAACGAGCTAATTTTTTTTAAGGAACAATTTTTTTCTTGTATAAATCTCTGGCAACATAGCTCATGTATTTTACTTGTTCAGAAAAGTTCCTAATGAACCTAACCTGTCCACATTGTAGACATTACTAATTAATTTTAAGCTAAAATAATCTCAGGAAAAAACAGACAGACAAACAAACAATCTAAAATAAAACAAATCACCTGTTTTTCAGTGTAGTTATGTTTAGTATAGAAGAATGTCAGGGGAAATCAATGTTGATAAATTTATAATCAAAATAAAGCATGTCTTAAGGTTATTTTTGTAGTTAATTTGCTTTTAAAGAAATAGTTTCAAATAATTGATCATATAACATTTACTAGATCAATTTTCCCTTTCATATATATTAATACTATAAAGGAATTTATTATTATTATTATTATGCAAAGTTGATATTTTCTACTAAAAATAATAAAATACTGAGTGCTACATTTAATTAATACTATCCTGAGAATAGATTACTGGGATCCATACACTGAGAATAAACTTGTTAAGCACCTGAAAAAATTCTAAATGAACAATATTCAGAGAGATTCTTAAATAACTCTCTGCAAAAGGGGCATATATTAGTAAATCATTTTATATGATTTCTTGACAAACTTATGTGAAATAGAAATCTCTAATGAAAAGGCAAAATAAAAATAATTTTTATCACCTAGATACATTTATACTGTAAAAAATCTGAATTGATTCATGACTATAGTTTCAGAATTAAGATTTCTACATACTTTCTTCAACAATATAGAAACTGTAGAATTTGATTCTCATTTTTCTGATTGTTGTACTTCTAATCCTTAAACTTTTATAGAAAATGTGTTTCTATGCACATTATCATCTTATTTTTAATCTTAAACAGTACCAATAAAATGTATTGTTTTTTACTTAAAATAGGAATACTTCTTTTCTTGTCTAGCCTATGCATGTAAAATGTATTTGCATATTTCTGATAAAGTATCTGAAAAGATTTCCAATCTTTTGGTCACTACCATTTTGGTCACTGAGGTCCCTGTTAGTTTATTAGGGTTAACATAAAAGTAACTGCATTTCTATCCTGTAAATAAAACAAAGCTGTGTTCTTATGTTATATAGAGGCGCTATGAGTCGGAAATGACTCAATGGCTCCTAACAACAACAGTGTTCTTATTTGCACAAAGACATGGAGCTCGTCAATTTTAGTTCAGTCTGGAGATACTTTACAAACTATAAATTTAATCGATATAACAATAGTGGTACTACATTTTACACTAAATAGCTTCTAACAACTATTAGCAGGGTATAATAAGCAATTTCGAGTAATTTTCATTTTGGATAGTGTCTACATGTTACTATATATTCTACAGATTACATATAATATGTAGAATATATATTAAGATATGAGTAAAAATTTGTCTTTAACATGTTACATATAACAATAACAATATATATTAAGATAAAATGAGTTAAATTTATCTTAAAATATAAATATCTAGAAAAAAACCCAAATACTCCAATTACATTGTATAGGTAGATAGAGTTGATTTCTTTGTTCTTATTTTAATTAAAATTTGTTCAATGGGAGGGACCAAACACAAAACTCCTCCAATTACATTTAAATTCAATATTACAGATTTAAATGTATGCCACTATATTGAAGATTTATTTTCAGGAGATTTAAATTACTGAAAAAAATTTTATAGCTAGTTATCTTCATAAACCCATTGCTGTTGAGTCGATTCCGACTCATAATGACCCTATAGGACAGAGTAGAACTGCACCATAGGGTTTCCAAGACTGTAATCTTTACAGAAGCAGACTGCCACATCTTTCTCCCAGGGAGCAGCTGGTGGGTTCGAATTGCAGACCTTTCTGTTAGCAGCCAGGCGTTTAACCGCCGAGACCCCAGGGCTGCTTATGTTGATAAAGAGTTGTGAATGAAAGAAGAACATAAGTAAAGTATTTTTAAAGCAACATGTTCTTAATGTAATTTATGGCTCAAGACGTTCAAAATTTCAAAAATATTTGTCCTTAAAAATATACGGACAGAATTTTCATTTTTATATAGTCCATTTAAACTCATCTCACAAGTTTTTTTGTTTGTTTGCTTGCTTTTTTTCTTGTGTTTTTGTTTGTTTTA